AGTTTTGTGCTAGAGGCAAGAAGATATATAATATATGCAGTCAATGAAGTTAGACTGAAGGTCCACCTGTGGACCCTGCAAAGAGCCATGCATTACATTTCAATTCAACTGTATTTGCTTCATGCCTCTGCTACAGTACTCTTGCAGGACTAGAGAATAAAATGATTTCTACATCAAGAGCTGCTGAACTTCTATACTTACAGGCATGACCTAAATAGTAGATTTTGCAGGAGCTCCACTGTCAAAATGATTTACAACACTACTGCAGGGTGCTTTACCTGTTACTTTCTTGTAGTAATTTAGCCCATGATTTGTTCTCATGTTTTCTACTTCTACTGCATTGAAAAATTCATTTAACCTTCCAGGATGTAAGAGGAAACAAATTCACCTGCTACTCAGATGTTTAAGCTGCAGCTATTTCTGACAAAGGAAAAATTCTCCAGAAATATTATTGGTTTTGTTCTAAGTTGCAAAGCTAAGTCTGTGGTTTTACTGTGTTTTTTTGATTTGGTGTGTATTTTAACAGTTTCATTGTGCACAACCCTGGGAAGTGTTTGAGTTACATATGCTGTACTGACTTGTTTAATATAATCTTAAGAAAGATTTGTTACCTAATATTAGATGCGACAACTTTACTTAGGTTTATCTTAATGTGTTATTACATTTGTTGTTTAATACATCGCAAATGTTGCATAACACAACATCTGCAGCCCAGTCCAGCCTAGTGCCTAGCAGGTAATGGGTTGGTGATTTGTTCTCTCCCACACCCATACCTTTAGTGAATAATAACAGGACAGCTTTTGGTGTAAAAAACAGATGTGACGTGTGACAAACAGTTTCTGACCGTGGCAGCGATGTGCTGAACTGGAGGCGAGGAAGGGCAGGAATGACCTCCACCAAACAGCCACTAGTCTTAACACCAGGCAGGCCCTCGAGCAGGCAGTCACTGGTCACACCAAACACTGACGTGTGGTAACCTGGGTTCAAACGCAGAACAGAGGAACAGTTTAGCCCAGTGAATGGAATGAATGGTGTGATGAAGTAATCCAGGCCAAAAACAGTTTCTGTTTCAACAGAGGACGCAATAGAAATCACAGCTAATTTGACCAGTTTGTTATTATGTGCAACATCTGAGTGGAGGAACAGGTTTCCAGCTGGCTTTACCGTTGACAGTGATGTTGCCAGCCGTCCGTGGGACACCAACCAGAGTGACGGGGTACAGGCCAGACTCGGCAGGCAGGGACAGCGCAACAGGCAGGGACTCAAACTCCACTCCAGACGTCAGCAAACCCTGAATACAACATCAAATATGACAGGGAATGACATTCCTCAG